CGGAACATTCGCGGCATCTTTTTTTATAAACACGCTGCCATATTGGCTGCGGATGTACGACTGTTCATCAGAAGTAGATTGTAATGTTGTGTCTATCCCGTATTTTAAGCGACAGTTTATGTTCTTTGCGGTAGCTGCTTTGGCTAACGGTAGCAGGTTGCCAGAGAGACTTCTACCGGGCGTGTTCGATTTCTGTGGCCAAAGTCATCACTTTTTACACATACTTTGTGCGATCGGAGCAGTGGATGAATATTCAGCCCTTTATTTGGACATGTTAGGAAGGAGGCAGGCTTTGGAAAATTTATCAAACCTACCCACCTTTACAAACAGCCTTTGTGTGATACTGCTTGTACTCGCATGTAATGTTGCGGTGGTTATCTGGTTTACAAAGTCAATGAAGTCGGTTGAGAGTGCAAACAACACCAGTTCTTCAGATAAAGATGACTAAATATCAAGTAACCCTTTAACTCCCAAGATCTGATTGTTAATTTCCCCCTCTAGCTGCCACACATTTCCTTGTAAATTAGTGACAAGAATTTGGTGTTAGATCAAGATAGCAACTTCTATCTGGTAAGTTTTTGTATCCCATCATCTGTTTGTTGGATAATTTGTGGATAATGTATAGAGAAGTTACTTGTTAATCACATCAGGGAGTAAAAGGGTCAGTATCATCTATTAGAAGGCAAACTCAACAGTAAGTCCATGATTATTGTTGTTTTGACATTGCATATACTTAACTGGTACTCTATTTTAGATATAAACTATTTTTTTGTGATTTCTCATTAAGTAAATACTTATTTGCCAAGAATCAATTATTTTTCTAGTGACTAATCAGGAAGCATGAGAAAGTGAATCCCTCAGTTAAAAGGGAAATAGAACTTGAAACAGAATAGGCCAAATAGAAGCAAATTGTGTTTGTTCTTTCAATTTCCACTTCATTGTTAACCCTTTACACCCAATCATCAGTATCTATATTCTCTTCTCTCTTCTCTTTACATTTCCATTAGTACTGAAAGGGAGATTTTTTTTATCAATCAAAGCTTCTTAAGTTGGTGATCATTTCCTTTATTCTCATGATCGTAATGAATTTTTTAGCAGTGTTATGGTAAGGAGAAATTAGACTCTGGTCACTCTTATGGTAGAGTTAATGATGATTTACATATGTTTGAATTTCTCACACGATGAGAGATTTCACTGTTCTTCCACAAATCTGTTTTCCAAAATTATCTGGGACTTTCAAGACATCAGTGTTCTAGATTATCCATATATTGAATTTAATTGATCTCCAGCCAAGTCTAGGAGTATTAATAATGAGCTCTGACTACGGTGCACATGTTGAAAATTTCAGTTCTCTTACATGATTGCTGAAAATGTATTTAATTACCTTTTTTTCCCTTTTTTAAAGGTGTCTGTTGATTAGGTAAAAATATCTTAATTGTGAAACAGATCATCTGCTTTTGAATATAGTTTTAGTTTGTAAAACTGTCACAAGTGTGTAAGTTTGGATTATCTGGTAAGCTTTTTGTGAGAAACAAATGAATATTAATAAACAAAGTTTTCTTCAGTTTTGTGATTGTTTCACTCAGACTTTATTTTCATTCTATGAGTTATTTCTTGCAATCAGTCTTGAGGAGATTTTGTGTGTATGATGAGGTTCAAATTTTCTTTTTCCTCCCATTTTTATGTCAAACTTATTGCAACAGAATATATTTTTTTCAAAGATTACTTTGCACTACTAAATTAATTTTTTCTTGTACCATTTACATTGATTTTAAGCTGACTGAAACTTGTCGAGACAGTTTTATTGGCATAGAGAGGAAAGACGGAGAAAATGAGATAAGAGAAATAAAAAGAAATTCTGGTATTGGTGATCTGGAAGAAAATACATGGTTGTAGAAAAAGTGAATCTAAAACTATAATTTCCTTGTGTGTGAGCGTGTGTGTGTGTAGGGTGAGATTGCGAAGGTGGTTAGAATTTATTTGTGGCTGGCAGGAGAAGTTTACATCCTTAAATAATTGATGGCCAACAATCAGGTGTCACAAGTAGCTGACTGTGTTTGTGAGTAACCATGTATATCAATAAATTTGAGAGTATCCAAAAAAACTCTGAGTAAAAAAGGCCACCAGAGAGGTGGGCTGTTAGGGGTTAGGGATAGGGTTGCAAACAGGAGTTGATAACTGTGATAACAACCTCATTTCATTGGTATTTTGTTACTTAAGGGAAAGGAAGGGAGTAAGGTTGGGGTTTTAAGATATCAAAGTTTGTGTTACTCAAGGTGGCAAGTATTCTTTGATAGTCACTCAGGGAGAGGGATGACAATTTGATCAAATGACAACGACTGCTTAGGTGAGTGGTTAAATAAATAATATTGTTTATTCAACTCATTATGGAACATTCCTTTGACACTTGATCCATTACTATTTTAAGTCCCTAAACTCTCCCCTTCCCCTTCATAGGCTTGAACCTACAATGGTAGGTCCC